TACACACCTTTACATGCTCGACCCAAATGTGCTTGGCAAAACTCTTTGAAGGCAAAATCTCATGTGGCAAAGATTGAATGAGTGTCGTGCCTCGTCACTGTCTCATCACTTTTACAGGTTACAACAGGTCTGCGCTTCAAGATACAGGCTTACTCATCTGGGCCTGGGCATTTTGATTTTTAGTGCAATTCAGAGTAACATTTGAATATATATATATATATATATATATATATATATATATATATATATATATATATATATATATATATATATATATATATATATATATATATATATATATATATATATATATATATATATATGTATTTTTGTTCCTTTTGTGTTCTGTTTATTATAATAGAAATAAGTATTGATACTGCCACATTGTTACTAGCCTCTATGTTTAATTAGTTTCTGAACATTTCATTTAATTATTTTTTATCAATATGTAATGCTATTACGTTTATAAATTAATATATGCATTTTTGTTTCTTTCTTGTTTAATTTAATTTAATAGTGTTTTAATGTAAAATTTTTTATGTACAATACATTGCATGTTTATAAAGCACATTTAAAAACAACCAAACTTGACCCAAGTGATATACATAGGAGTACCAAAGACAAAGAAGAAAGCAAAATATCAAAGAAACATTTAACAAATAAAAGCTGTAAAACAGTGATCAAGGAGTATTAAAAGTTAGAGAAAATAGATAGGTCTTTAAAACAGACTTAAATGGACAGGGACAGAGTTTAGGACCAGCAACAGCAAAAGCTTGATCACCTCGTTTTTGAAGGCGTGTTCTGGGCACTGAGTAAATTGAGATCATAAGATATGGACAGGTATAGGGACAGAGCAAGATTATTGACGACTTTGTAAACAAATAATACATATTTTTAATGTTAATATTTAATTTTCATTCATTCATTCATTTTCTTTTCAGCTTAATTCCTTCATTAATCTGGGGTCGCCACAGCGGAATGAACCACCAACTTATCCAGCATAAGTTTTTACGCAGCGGATGTCTTTCCAGCTGCAACGCATCTCTGGGAAACATATTTCATTTTAATATTTATATTAATAATGTTATAAATATTATCCCTTTTATATATTAATAAATCAAATTTTGTTCCTTTCGTATTCTGTTTATTATAATGTTTATATGTTTTGATGCTGCCACATTGTTATATTGTACATTACTAGCCTATATGTTCAATTAAAAAAGGTTTCTGAGAATTAAATTAAATTACATTTTTATTTAACGTAATATTTCATTTTAATATTTTATTTCAGCAACGTTATTAATATTATCACTTTTATATATTAATGTATGTATTTTCGTTCTTTTCTTGCTTAATTTAATTTTATTCAATTTTATTAAATGTTAATATTTAATTTTTATATTTTTCATCAATATGTAATGTTATTAATAGTTTTTGTTTTATGAATGAATTTATGTATGTATATATAATTTATATATATAATATATATATATATATATATATATATATATATATATATATATATATATATATATATATATATATATATATATATATATATATATATATATATATATATATATATATATATATATATATATATATATATATATATATATATATATATATATATATATATATATATATATATATATATATATATATATATATATATATATATATATATATATATATATATATATATATATATATATATATATATATATATATATATATATATATATATATATATATATATATATATATATATATATATATATATATATATATATATATATATATATATATATATATATATATATATATATATATATATATATATATATATATATATATATATATATATATATATATATATATATATATATATATATATATATATATATATATATATATATATATATATATATATATATATATATATATATATATATATATATATATATATATATATATATATATATATATATATATATATATATAT